CCCAGTGGGGGGAATCGAACTCCCAACCTAGAAGCACGCATCTAGAAATATATCTGCCCATTTTTCCGCAACAGAGCAGAGAATCTGTGGCTCCAGGGGTTCCCTTGGATTCCGATTCCCATCATTCCCGGCACAGTAGCGCTCAGGCCACCTGCTAGCTAGAGGGTACAGCACTGCGCTTGTTCGCTTAAACGTTGCATTGACTTGCACTGCTAAGTCTATTTTTCCCTCCCCCTATGCTCACCCCCCTCCGCCCCGGTTGTCAACTTCCCCACACCATTTAAGCTTTTAAGCCTGTTTGTGTGAAGGCTCAATCCTGATGCTTCCGAGGAGCCCAGTTGAGCGGTTAGTCAACAGAAAACCACAAATAAGGAACTCCTCTTTTTTTCCAATACTAGAATGAAAAGGGGAAAAAAAACACAAGTTTCTTAGAATAGAAGAAGAAAAAAAGCTTGCCGCATATTGGATCCTGGTGCCAAATGAAGAAAACATCTCAAGTTTCTAGCCCCTGTGAAGTTCTCCAGCTGCATGGGCTTCAGAGGCTCCACAGGGGCTAGAAACTTGAGATGTGTGAAGTTCTCCAGCTGCATGGGCTTCAGAGACCTCCACAGGGGCTAGAAACTTGAGATGTTTTCTTCCTTTGGAGAGCCGCGTCCGTCTGCTTCAGTGTTCTCCTGCCTCCGCGTTGCATCAAATCTCAAGCTCTTTCTAGCCGGAACGCAAAGAGAATTTGACCGGTTTGTATCGGAGCCGAAAAGGAACGAAATTCTCTCTCATCTGCTCGGTTCAACAGGTACAGCTCTTCTCCCGCATGCAAAGAACCACTTTGTACCTGCCTGCCATATAGTCACCAAAGGCGAGGAGAAAAAGACCCTCAATGGGGTAGATTACGCAGGGATTCGAATCCAGACCTTGAACAGCTAGCACGCAAAATCTTGGGCCTGAACGCCCGACCTCTCGGTTTCTCTCCAGTTTCGGCAGGGCATCTTGGCCAGTCAGAGCTTTGAAATAAATCAATAAAAACTACAAGACGCCTAATCCCCCAGCCGGCGACCCTCCTTTTCTGGGGCATGCTGGGCCTGGTTATCCAAAACAATCATCTTTGCCAGGCCATGATGGCAACGGTATGCATCGGGGATAAAATGGGTCAATGAAGGGCACGTCGTAGGGCGGGAATTTTACATCTCTTTTGTGGCTGTTCGGTTTCAGACGGCCGTGCCCGGCAGCCGCGCTGGGGGGACCAACTCTGCTCGTGGCCTGTCCAGCCGAGGATCGTAAAGGGCAGCCGGCCCGTCAGCTTGACGGAAGCGGCGCTGGTGAGCATCTCCCGTGACTTCGAAATTTTTCGGTGGGCTGGGAGAAAGGAGCGGCCGCCCCCCCCACCGCGATGGCTTCAAGGCGGGCTGGCCGAATGACCTCATCTTTCCCGAACCACCCCCCACCCCAACGCTCTGGCTTTGAGCCTCGCTTCCCCATGACCCACGGATGTTGGGAGTCTCAGAAGCATTTCCGTGTATTACTGTTGGGCAGGAAGTATTGGGTGGGATAGCGATGGGAGTGGTGCAGGATGATGGAGACGTGGGTGCGGGGTGGAGAAGCAGACACCTTTCTTTACTGTACGGGTTGCTCTCCCACCCACCCCCAACCTCGCCGCCTTTCACGCGCCCCACGGACAATGAGCTAACCAGGGAGCGGCGCTTCCTGGCTGCGAGGGGCTTCCCCTGGCTTGTCTTTGACCCTGATGCCCAGCTGGGCTTTGGAAGAGTCTGGAGTGGTGCTCGAACACAGAGCCTGTCCTCGGGGACCGAAATCAGCCCTGTTCGGTGCTCATTCCACGACTCCCCTTTCCTTTTCATGATTAATCCCGGCCACAAATGGATTTCCAGGGTGGCACCCGGGTGAGTAGCTGGCTGGATAGCTCAGTGGTTTAAATCTCCGTCTGTGGAGCCAGAGGTTGGGAGTTCGATTCCCGACACTGTGCTGGCTGGATAGCTCAGTGGTTTCGGTCTCCGTCTACGGAGCCATAAGTTGGGAGTTCGATTCCCGCCACTGTAGAAAAGAGCCAGCCTGGGGAGCCTTGGGCCAAGCGGCACCGTCCCACAGCGCCTCTAGAGGAAGGGGAGGGTAAAGCACTTTGGAGTAATATAAAACCTTGAAAAAGGGTCACCAGAAGTCAAAATTGGCTCGACCCTCCAAATGCACCAGCTGATCTGATGCAGATAAATATGGCTAGCCATTTGGAGGATAAGGACTGCTGCTTTCCCCCCCATAGATGATGGGAGGAAACTCTATAATTTTTTAAAGGGTCTTATGTTGATTTCTGATTTGTTCCCCCCAACCCCCCAGGGGCGAGCAGGGTTTCCTGCTCAGCTGCAGATGCTTTTGGAAGTGGAAGGAGATGCCCTCACCCTGGATTTGCTACAGAACCGGTGAGTTGAGGCTGGCCGGGGTGAAATCCAGGGATGGTTTCAGGTAGGACTCCAGCTCCCATCTTCCACATGCAACAGCCTCGGAGAGGGGTGGGGGTTAGGTTCCTCACACCCGTTCCAGGAACAGCCATCCAGATTCACCCAATTGATGCTTCCGCCCGGTGTCAAGTCTCTGAGCAGGGATGGGCCAGGATTTCTGGGAAAGTCCTAAAGAGGTCCTTCCCTTCCGTTGGGGGCTGGCGCTTGGCGCAGACCGATTCCACGCGGAAAGCGCTTTGGGACGCCCACGGAGCGCTGGATCCCTTCTCGGCCCTCTGCACGTGTTTGGTTTGCTGTATCCTCCTGGCGTTCCCTGCTCTAATGCCTCTTGGGGGTTGGGGATTGCAGGTCCCATCGCCCCCCGCCTCTAGCTGGGGAGGATGGGTGTTGTAGTCCGACCCCGTGCAGCCACTTTCCTCCTCCGTGGCGATGCTGCTGCTGATCCCCCTTTTTCTCTCGCTTGCAGGGAACGGCTGGCCGGCGCCCAGGTTCTCGTCTATTACCTTCCCAACGGGACGAGGGTGGCTCGTCCCTCGGGCGGCGCAGAGGTGAGCATCGATTTCCTCCCCTCGTACCAGGCGGGCGGGCTGGCACCTCCCGGGGGAGCGATTGGGTGGCTTGGAGATGCTCCCGGGTCTTCGCGCCCTTTCCAGCTGGGAGACAGCCAAGATGCAGGAGAGACTGTGCGAAGAAGTTTCGATGAGCAAATGGCGTGGGCCCGGAGGGCTTCGGACTCTTGACACCCATCATCCCCTGGCTGCAGAGGGCTCGATGGGATATGTAGTCCACCAGCATTGTTCTGCTGTGTTCTCTTTTCGGAAACGTGAATACCTGCCCCCCCAACTGATGTTCTCTTGGGCTGCATTTCCCAGCAGTCTGGGCATGTGGGGCTGATAGGCTTCGTAGTCCAGCCAACTGAGGAGGGTGGTGGCATGTTCCTCCCAACCTTGCACCAAAGGGTTGTTGTAAATATGAGTGGCAACTGATTTTAAGTCACCTTTTTTTTTATTTTTTTTTATTTTATTTTTCTGATGTATTGTCTGTTGGGTTCTGTTGCATCATCTTTTATTGTGGTTTGGAGTTTCTCCTGGTTATGTTTTGTGGTTAATCCAGCCTTGTTGTGGTTTATTATGTTTTGGTGTGTCTTTTGCACCTAAAAGTTTGATACAGTAGTTTACCGTATCCTGTGGTTTACATTTTCTGATTTCCTGCCTTGTGCTATATATATTGCTGAAAAGTAACTAAAAGACCTAGTAATAGTTTCCTCCTTTTGCTACGTTCGTAGCAAAAAGTATATATATATATAATTTGCTACATTATATATATATATACAACGTAGCAAAAAGTGCTATATTTTTGCTACATTGTATTGCAGTTTAGAATGTTTTATGTGGCTTTGTGTAAAACAAAACTATTACTAGGTCTTTTAGTTACTTTTCAGCAACATAGGAGAGGGAACCTCACTTGTCTGGACATGTTCTGCATTGCAGATGGTAGCCTGCAATATTCTGATTTTTAAAAAAAGTAACTGAAAAGTAACTTTCAATTACTTCTAGATCATTATAAAGTAGTATTCCACCCCCCCAAAAAAAACCACAACTATAACACTAACTACTTGGGAAGGGCTAGTAACTGTGCCAATTTCTTCTCGTCTTTTAGCGCGACTGCTGTTATCGGGGTGACATCCGCGGCTATCATGATTCCTGGGCCCATATTTGTGTTTGCTCCGGATTAAGGTACGAACAGAACCTGGGACATTGGGACAATTGTAGCGCCGCTAGGGAGAAGGGCATGAATCCTGAGACCAAACACCGCCGCCCACCTGTGGACTACAACACCCATTATTTCCAGGATAATGGGACCTATGATCCGATTTCCCTGGAAGGTGGTGCCGGGTGGTGGAAAGTCGGTCTCTTCGGTATCCGTTCTTTGCTTGGGAAATCTGGAAAACTGCAAGATTGGCGGGACTTCTGGAGGTCATCCAGTCTACCCCTCCCCAACCTGTGTGGTTAATCAGTCCAGGGCCAGAACATGATTTGGGCCCCCAGAAGCATCTCATGTCGGACCAAAATCTGCCCTTTACAATCTCTCACCTTCTGCCTCCGTTTATGCAATTGACCTTTTTAAGCTCTGACGGGAACCCCTGCCCTTCTAAAAGAGGAGAACAAGCAACGGGGACTCTCCCGGCATTTTGGCCCACCCAGCCCATCCTCCCCAGCTGACGTGTCTGGCATGATGGGCTATGTAGTCAAAGGACATCAGCAGAAGCCGCTGTCTCTCGTTCTGGTTTCCTAAAACCACTTCCAGCCACTGTCTCTTCTAACCAGCCCCAGATGCGCTGGGAGTACAACACCCATCGTTCCAAACCAGCGCCAGTCTTGCACTGGCCGGGGATGATGGGGGTTGTGATTCGGCCTCTTAGGGCATTCCAGATTGGGGGGGGGGAATGTGTTTCTCGGATTATCCGTGCTGTTTTGGTGTGCTGAGATCTCTCCTTTCCCTCCTTCCCTCCCCCCACTTCAGGGGTCTTCTGGCCATATCCGAGGGAAGGAGGTACGTCCTTGAACCCGTCAACGGAGGAACGACAAGCGCTTACAGACTCGATTCCCTGAAGCAAGAGACGGGAGGCTGCAGGGTACTTTTCCCACCCCCTGAACAGCTTCGCCTGCAGGCAGAATCTGGACCAACATTACACCGTAGGGTAAGTATGGATCTAACCATTGATCCGTCCAGCCCTGGGCTTTTCCCTCCGAGATCGTTTCCAAAAGCAAAACTGAACAGTAACATTGGTCAGAAAACCCCAAAAGGGATTTTAAGCTGCTTTTCTTGTTTCGTTTTTCTTGTGTTTTAGCTCCTGGTTTCCTTATGTTTGGCCCGGAAAAGAGGTTCTGGCAGGGTTGAAGGCAAAACAGTGTAGAAAGGTTGTTAAATAGATAAAGAAATAGATGAAATGGGGATTAAGGAGGGCTGGCTGGCTACGATAAGTATGGATAAGGAAGAGAGGGAACGGAATGGAGTTTTTGAATAGGAAGATCCGGCTGGCTGGACGGGATGGGGGTTCGAAACAGGACGCGCCGGAAGGGTGTCCGGCTTCAGACGGCGGCCGAGATGTTGAGGGAGGCAGAGAAAGTCAGACGTGTCCTGTGAGATCTGGAGAGACCTGTAGTCCGGCACCTAATGTACAAAACGCAACCATTTCGATTCCTCTGAGAAGCTCAGCGTCTCTTCTCAGGAGCGGTCATTCAGAGGTAGACTGCTCCTGCCTCTGGGAGCTTTATTTCCCATACCTCTAAGAGTTCCACCATCGCCCGTCAAGTTCCTGTAATTTCTTTTTCGTTTAAAAGAGCGAGAGTGAGAGAGATAATAATCTCACATAATGAAGAGAGATGAGATGACCACGGGGATTGGAGCGTCCGTTTAAGACGTGGAAGATCCCAAATTATATATTTTTTGTCCGCAAGCTTTCCTGGTTGACCGTCATTTCTCCAGCTTTGACGCCAGACTCTCATCTCTGGTGTTTTCAACAAACAACGTTGTCTTTCCCAGGCAAAGCGAGATGCAACGTCAGAGGCCGGATACGTGGAGCTGGTGATGGTTGCCGACCAGGCTGAGGTGAGCGGTCTCCTTCCCCCCATCCCGACTTGGGCGGTCGCTCCTTCGCATCCCCTGCAACCCTCCTCATAGCTTCCCAGCAAAGCTTTCAAGTTGACGAGCACCCAATTAAAACAAAGCACAGAGCCCATTTTCAACCTCCTCTAAATCCTGAGCTGCTAGCTCTCACCCTGCGGGGTGTTCGGTTGCTGTCTCCTACCTCCCTCTTTTAGCTCCCGCGTTGCAGATGCCAGCTTGGTGTTCTCATTCCATCTGTGGCGGACCCGATCGGAGAGGGAAGTGGGGAGTAGTGGTTAGAGCAGAAGCCGTCCATGAGTCGGTCAGTGCCGAACCCTTCTTGAGTGTTTCGGGCCTGCCCTACCTCACAAGGGTGTTCTAAGGATGAAGGCAGGAAAAGGAACCTTACCAGGAGAGAACTGAAAAAAATAACTAATAAATATTTCTAATATTTATCTGTCTCTCTGTCATGCACATACGCATCCGTGGCTCTCTTGCCCGAACTTTTCTGCCTTTGATTCGTTTTTCTTGTTCCTTTCAGTTCAGGCTGGATCCTGACCTGGAACGGATCGAGACCCGGATGTCTGAAATTGCCAACTATATGGATGGGGTGAGTAGCCTTGACGTTCCCCCCACCCCATCCTCCCCCTTTTTAGTGTAACCTTGGAACTACCCGACTCTTGATATTTTTTTCAGGTAGACATTCACGGTTAGACCGACCCATTGGGATGAGGGAAGTGGCCGTGGAATAACCTAATGGGGACGGTCATTTATAACGGGATGTGGGCCGTGCATTTTGTTTATACAAGTGTGTGAAAATGTTGCATTGATTTTCGAAGGCTTTAGTTATGCATTTTTAATTTTTTTCATTATAAGCCATCCTGCATCCAATGCTTGGGGAAAACATTGGATGCTAATCAAATAAATAAATATTTATTCAAAAGATTTATTCCCGTGATGTGTACTGGAAGGAAATTCTTCTTGTGTAGTTCTTCCTTCCTTCCTTCCTTCCTTCCTTCCTTCCAAACCTGCTCTTGTTATCCTTTTCGCTCCTGTTTCCCCAGTTTTATCGCACGCTGGGCCTTCGGGTGGCGCTGGTGGGTGTGGAAATCTGGAGTGACCGGGATCGTGTGCCCACGGACGGGTCTCCTCAGGAGGTGCTGGAGCGGTTTCTTCGCTGGAGGCAGACGGATCTCCTTCCCCGGATGCCCCACGACAGTGTCCAGCTCATCATGTAAGCAACCCAGTGAGGTTGAGGGGTTGCCACCAAAAGACCAAGAACCGCAATGGTGCTGGTGGCGAGATCGAATTCAGGCTCTCAAAGCTAAGTGCCCAGACATTCTGATGAGCAACGAGATCGTCTTCTGCACCAGCTCGCACTTCTGTGTTTTCTCTAAGCTAAGATGCAGTCCTTCGAAGACTCAGAACATGGTCACACAGGGGGAAAAATATATCTGGGTTGGGTTGATCAAGTTTTAAATCAGTTTTTAAAACGGCAACTACACAATGCACATGGAAACACGGATGGTTTTGATGGGGAATCGTGTTATTGAGAGCGAAAGTGAGGTATTTTACGCTTCCACCAGATGGTTGTTTATTTTAGATGTCAAATCAATTTATTTTGCATTGTTTTGGCATGTGTGAACACTTCTGTTGTTATTAATTCTGTCTGTGGGCTTTGACACTCACTGGTGCCCCTTCCATGCACCCTCTCTCTCTCTCTCTCTCTACTTCCTCTGTTTGTGTGTGTGTGTGTGTCCGTGCGCGCACACATATCTCCCTCTTTCGCCAGCCTAGAACTGCTGTCCTAGTCAAAACATCTGGTCAAGTTCAGTCTTGGCTGGGTGTCTCGGGCCTTGACAAGCCTAGTCAGTTTCAGACCTGTCCTGATTTTTTTTCTATCTGTCATTCTATTCTAGCGCTATTTCAGATGGAAAGAAATACAAAAAAAAATTCAGAATACATCCACATCCGCCGTGGCTAGTGGCTGTGAGTGGCTGCCAGCTCAAGGGCAGGTGGGCGCAGGATAAAGCCTCAAATTCAGGACAGTTTTAAAACTGATCAAAAGTTTTCCCTGAGACGACACAATCACTGACCCCAAAACCACATGACTACCATATTACTTTAAGCCAAATTAACGCGCTCCCCCCGCCCAAATCCTTCACCTAAAGATTTGTGAGTTTCGGTCTATTCGTAAGTTTGTCGGGGGCAGCTTTTGGTGATGACAAGGGAGAAAAATTGGCTTTCCATTCCTTGAAGGTCGGCCACACCTGTCTAAGAGCTTCTATATATCTGTCTGCTTTTCTTTTCTCTCTCCTCGTAGGGGCGCCCCGTTGACCGAGGGCATCATCGGTGCGTCCACGCAGGGATCCATCTGCTCCAGGCGCTCGGGGGGTGTCAGCATGGTGAGTGGCTCCTGGCGTCTTTGCACACAGGCTGGTGAATGATGGGAGTCGTAGTCCAAACGATGGTCAAGCACCGTTGCTCTTCCTTAGCCCTTTCTTTCTTTCTTTCTTTCTTTCTTTCTTTCTTTCTTTCTTTCTTTCTTTCTTTCTTTCTTTCTTTCTTTCTTTCTTTCTTTCTTTCTTTCTTTCTCTCTTTCAGGACCACTCAGTCAGCCCGCTGGTGATGGCTTCCACCGTGTCCCACCAGCTGGGCCACAACCTCGGCTTCGACCACGATGGGGCCGGCTGCGGGTGCGACGGATCCAGCCCCAACCTGCCGCCCGGGCGCAGCTGCATCATGGAACCCCTGACAGGGTGAGTCTCTCTGTGTGTGTGTGTGTGTGTGTCTGTGTCTGTTTCAGAGGGTGTGCAGATTGAATGGCTAAGACCATAGAATTCAAGGTTGGACTACGATGTTGTTCTTACGGGCTGTCAAGTCTCCTCATGAACAAGTGATCTCCAAAATCTCCTGTCGTTGTCAACAGCCCAGCTCTTGCAAACTCACTCCGGTGGCTTCCTTGACGCAGTCCGTCCATCTCATCTTTGGCCTTCCTCTTTTCCTGCTGCCTCCCACCTTTCCAAACCTTATTGTCTTCTCTGGAGCATCCTGCCTTCCTCACGAGGTGCCCCAAATCAGGACAGCCTCAGCTCCAACAGTTTTGCCTCCCGAGAGAGTTCAGGCTTGATTTGATCTGGGACCCCCTTAGAGGTCCTCTAGTCCAGCCCCGTGTGCAGCACGGCATCATCTTCTCTGAATTGCTTCCGGGGCAGGAGGCTTTGGGCCAGGCGCACCCCAGGCCTACCTCACTGGGCTGTTGTGCTGACCAGGTGGGAGGGGAAGAAGGACAGGCGCTGCCTTTTGCCCATCGAGAGGCAGGTGACAGCGGGAGAGCAAATAATGGCCCCGAATCTTTTTCGCTCCTCCTTCCAGGATCACCCCCGGACTCAGTTTTAGCAGCTGCACCCACCGGAAGGTGGCCCAAGTTCTCCAGAGGGACCGGATCGGGTGCCTTTGGGACGTGCCGGAGCCGAGCCGCCTTGTGGGATCGCACTGTGGGAACAACCTGGTGGAAGCCAAAGAGGAGTGTGACTGTGGCTTGCGGCTGGTACGAAGAAGCCCCTCTCTTGTTTCTCTCCTCCTGCGTCCCTCCCTGGCGCCTCTTTTTGGGGTTCAGAGGCTCCTTGGGGCGTGCGCAGAGAGCCTTCGTGGGATACACATGGATGGGGGAGGTGTTCTTTCCGGGTAAAAGGTTTAGGGTAGAAGTTAAGTACAGTGGTGCCCCGCTTGATGATTACCTCATTGTACGACGAATCCGCTGTACGATGAGGTTTTTGCAATCGCTATTGCGATCACAAAACAATGTTTAGATTGGAAAAAAACACTTGATGATGATCGGTTCCCTGCTTTGAGAACCGATTTTTCACTTAACGACGATCAAAACAGCTCCCCACTGTGTTAGGGATGGATTCTTCACTCTACTGGGACCAGAAAATGACTGCCCTATGGAGGATCTTCACTTTACAATGAGGTATTTTGCCCATTAGAATGCATTAACCGGTTTCTAATGCATTCTAATGGGCTTTTTACTTTCGCTTGATGATGATTTCGCTCTACAGCGATTTCGCTGGAACGGATTAACGTCGTCAAGCGAGGCACCACTGTAGTTTATGTCTAGGGCAAGCTATACGGACAGCCACGTGGGGTCAGCGTAAAGGCCTTGCAAGTCGAAGGCTCTCTCCCCATGGCACTGGCTGTAAGACCCAGTGGGGAGCGCATGAGTGGAACATGGGCTCAGACGTCCTTTTCCCATTCAGAATCCCCCAACAAGCAAGGATCAAAGGTGCTCCTTCCTCGCGCATGGACGCAATATACGGCCATCCCCATTAGCGGCTATGGATGACCTAACCCACTTTTCTTAACCCAGTGATAGCCATCGCTATCAATGCATCTGCACGACGCTGAGTTATCGCAGTTGGGGACTGCTTTATTTTCCACGACTCGGCCCTCTACGATCTTGTTGCTCATGGTTGGAAGGGCTGTTTCAAAGCCCCCACCTCTCACCCAGGGGACGGCCCTGGGGCTTTCTAGCTGAGGATGCAGAGCCCCTTCCCGGACTACAGATCCCATCTAGCTGGGGCCATAAAAGGGGCAGGGAGCAGATACAACTCTGTAGCACACATCCGCCCTCTGGTTTTGAATTTCCCGTAAGAGCAGGGAGCGTGAAGTACAGTCCAGTTTTCGGCTTTCAGCTTAACCCCATTTCCCTTCCTTGACGCTGTTTTTTTCCCCCCTCTCCTGTTTTACCGGCGTCAGGAGTGTACGGATCCTTGTTGTAACGCCAGCACATGCCGCCTGATGCCGGGAGCCCAGTGTGCCACAGGGGGTGCTTGCTGCCACGAGTGTAAGGTAAAGCCACCTGGAAGGGCCATCATGGAGGGGGGGAATAACCAAGCCAATAATGTGGGGTGCCCACCAGATCAACCCTCCACCTCTTACCTGGATGTCTGGAGGTTTGGTCTACGTCTTACGGCTTTCTTCTCTGCCCACTTTCCCCCTCTTAGCTCCGCAGCGCCGGTTTCGCCTGCCGCCCGTCCCGGAGCGAGTGCGACCTGCCGGAATACTGCGACGGCGTCTCGGCCCGCTGCCCGCCCAACGTCCACAAGCAGGACGGGACCTCGTGCGAGGGCGGCAACGGCACCTGTTACGGCGGCACCTGCCCCACCTACGGAAGGCAGTGCGAAGAACTCTGGGGCCCAGGTAAAAAAACAAAACAAGCCAGGCTGGTTGGCTTGGAGGGCTCGCGTGCACCGTTTGGGCGAAACCAGCCAGCGAGCCAAGAAGCACGCATCGACGCCCGGAAAATGGCTCAATGTTCTTTTCCGTTTCTGTAAAATGGGTCCCTCGGGGATGTTGAACAAACTGCAGCTCACGCCTGGATCTTGTTTAAGAGGTGAAAAACGGGTCCTCGTCATGCTTTTGAGATCAGCCGTTCCCCCTTTTTCGGTGTCGGCAAGCAAGAAGGTAGGGGAAAGGCGGAAAAGCTGCCTCAATGGGGCCGTATGTGGTCCTTGATCTCAGCTCATCCACTTTGGGGGTACACAGCCAGTGAGTGGAGCAAACAAAAGCAGCTTTCCCCACCCATGGGGAGGACGCTGTTTCAAGAAAACTGGATTCTGCAGGCAGAAAGGTGGGGTGTACTTTGAGTTCGAGGTGTTCAAATTGGTGCTTTTTGGGGCTACGGAAAAGACCCTCTCTCGCACAGCCCAGATATCTTCTCAGAATTTCCCAAGGGGGCAGTCTGGAATTCTGGGCACTGAAGTGCCCAAAACTCAGAGACCACACGTGTATAAAATTGAGCTGCGCTTTGCATGCATGCGCTGCGCTTGGCGTGCGCTGTGCTTTGCATGCATGCGCTGTGCTTTGCGTGCATCTATACAAAGATAAATAAATCTGCTCTCCTTTGCTGCAGGGATGGCCAGCCATCGTGGCAAGGTGGAGTTGGTCTGGATAATCTCTCTCTTTCTCTCTCCCCTCCCGGTAGGTTCGGTCCCTGTCTCTGACGCCTGTGTGGCCTCTCTGAACAGTAGAGGGAACCCAGATGGAAATTGTGGGCGAAGAGCGAACGGTTCTTATATCTCCTGTGCCAAAAAGTAAGAGTTCTCTCTCTCCTTTTCTTACACATACTCTTCACAAAACCTTGACTCTTGAGCCTGATTGATTGATTGATTGATTGATTGATTGATTGATTGATTGATTGATTCTCAACGTTTTTATAATTTTGATTGGCTGTGCCTGGTGTTTTTAAAATAAGAATAATTAGTGTTAGAACTGCAGATCAGAAGGGGCCCGATAGATCATCCAGCCCAGCCCCTGTCAAGGAGGCCCAGTGGGGGATTTGAACTCGTGACCTTGGCGACCGACACCACTGAGCCATCCAGCAGAGTTTGCTTCTGTTTTGAACTTCAGCCTTACTTCTTTGGTCCTCTAATTGTTCTCCGAGGTCGTTATATACTTGCCAAACCAAAGTGAATGATCTTGTGGTCCAGGTTGATTAAAAAGATCTGATTAAAGTGCTGAGAAACATTGCTTTTGGAGACACACCGTTGAGGACTAGCAGCTTGGTCCGGAGGGTTTAAAGCAGCCAGCCGAGTAACAGCGAAATCCCTTTCTGGCAGTGACGTCTGGTGCGGACAACTCCAATGCCAGGGAAGTGGCGCTAGTGCCAGAAAACAAAACCGGCAATCGAGGGCGCCCGGCTGCCCGCATAAGACTCCGTCTCCAGCGGATGATGTCCTGGATCTGGCCCTGGTGTTGCCGGGGACCACTTGCGGGCCGAACAAGGTGAGTAGGCTTTGTGTTGGATAGAGTTTGGAACACTTTGCAGGCATGCAAAGCACAGCTCACGTCTACGCATGTCTTCTTGGAACGGAGTTCTGTAGGCAGCTTTCAGGCAGGCAAAGCGTAGCTTGAATGCCAGGCATTTCTGCTCAGAAGAAAGCTCAGAAGAAAGTGCCAGACAACGTCTTTCAGGCAGGCAAAGCACAGCTTGATTCGGTGCATGTCTGTTCACAATGAACCTCCGTACATCTCTTTGGTATGCAAAGCACAGCTCATTTGTGCATGGAAGGAAGCTATCTGCAAAAGTTTTTAGACATGCAAAGCACACCTTAGTGACTGTTGTGGTTTCTCAGTAGCAAGACCCATCCCTTGACGACAGCTTTCGGGCCTCCAAAGCATAGTTCATTTCTGTGCTTGCTTCTGAGAAAAACCTGCCAGCAAGCAAAGCATAGCGCAGTTCTTATAACCAGCAGGTCTGGGGTTTCTACATTCTTCTGCTTTCTGGTACATACATCCTTTGGGAGCTCTCTAAATGCCATTTTACCCCCTTGTGCAGATCTGCGTGGAGAAAAAGTGTCAGGATCTTTCCTCTTTGAAACTGCCGGGGTGCCAGTGCAACGGCCATGGGGTAAGCAGGGGAAAACAGGTGGGCGGGGGGGCATTTATTGCACAGTGCCAACGCTAAGACTTCGCATGCAGTGAGTGAGAGCAAGGGAGGTTGAAATATCCCTGCTCTTGCTGGTTGGAGGATTTTAGTTACTTTAAAAATAATTAGTTTCAGTTACTTTTTACAAAAAATAATTAGTTTATTACTTTAAAAATAATTCATTTCAGTTACTTTTTAAAAAATTAATTAGTTTCAGTTCCTTTTTAAAAACGTAGTTACATTCAGTTACTTTTTTTAAAAAAGTAATGTTTCCATCTCTGATCCTTTATTTCCCTCTATGCATCGAGGGCTAGGGCACAGGAGACCATCTTGAGGAAAGTCAGACGGTCCGTATGACTAGTTTAACGAACCAAAGATGTCATGTCTCCATAAGCCAGTGTAAATGCAACAAAACTCAACAAAATGCGAAAACAGCATTTATTTTACCTCCCTAAACTAATTCTGCCCTGCCTGAATCATCATGATCATCAGCATCTTAGAACGGCAGAGCTGGAAGGGGCCCCTCTGGATCATCCTCTCCAGCCCCTGTCAAGGAGGCCCGTGGGGGGGGGATTCGAACTTCCAACCTCTGGCGCCACAGCCAGAGACCTCAACTTCTGAGCTATTCGGTAGATGTACAGTGGTGCCTCGCTTAACAAGCGCACCGTAGAACGACGAATCCGCATAGCGAGGGGTTTTTTTCAATCGCAACTGCGATCGCAAAGCGATGGCCTCTATGGCTGAAACTCACATAGCGAAGGTTGGTAAGCGTTTCATTTCGCTTACCGACCTTCGCTTTGTGACCCGCGGATCAGCTGTTCGGCGGCTCCAAAATGGCCACCGGAAGCCCCAAAATGGCCGCACACAGCGTTTTCGCGCCCTCGGTAAGCGAGGAGAGGGCGCAAAAATGGCTGCCGGCCATAGGAAAACATCGCTGAACGGTGAGTTTTCGGCCCATTTGGAACGGATTAAACGATGTTTAATGTGTTCCAATGGGTTTTCTTGATCCGTTCAGCGATGTTTTCACATAGCGAGGGTTAATCCGGAACGGATTAACCTCGCTATGCGAGGCACTACTGTATGTAGACATGTTTGCATCTTTTTTCCTGCTTTCTTGAGAGCTAGAGGCTTGCCAAAAATAAAATGAGAAGTGGCCTGGACTTAAGCAAAACTATGTTGAATTTTGGACCCATTTCGCCCCAGATATATCAGCCCAAATGCAAATTCGTAAGTTATGGAAATTCATCCTTCTTTTATCTCTTCCTTGGGGGGGTAAATAAAAAGCCTCAGTCCTAAGCCTTTGGCGTGCTCATGTGCATTCTGAATTTTGGAGCACGCATGCACACCCCCTGAGCACTGCACCGGGAACTATTCCCTGCTAGGAAGGGACCAAAACTTGCGAATTCGCTCAGCGAGATTCGGGCCGTTCGCTCGCTTGCAAGTCTGGCTTTTCCTGTTTTTTTGCGCAATATTGTTGCTGTGGTCTTTCTCGACAACCCCCTCAAGGTTTCCTTTTTCCGTCACTCACACCCCACTGTAGGTATGCAACAACAAGGGGCATTGCCACTGCGAACCGGGGTGGGCACCCCCCGACTGCCAGAGCAGTGGAGGTGGGGGGAGCATGGACAGCGGCCCCCCTGCTAAGGAGCAAGGTAGGTGATATGGTGGGAGGGTGGGATGGAGCCAGATATTAGGAGTGTGTGGTGCTAGACACCGCATTACAGTAGGACCCCTGTATCTGCGGGATCGTTATCCGCTGTTTCATTTATCCACACTTAAGTCGTATCCTATAGCCCCCCTGCTAAGGAGCAAGGTAGGTGATATGGTGGGAGGGTGGGATGGAGCCAGATATTAGGAGTGTGTGGTGCTAGACACCGCATTACAGTAGAACCCCTGTATCTGCAGGATCGTTATCCGCGGTTTCATTTATCCACACTTAAGTCGTACCCTATGTACAACATACAAGGGTTACTCCTTGTGGCCTTTGTCCTGTCCCCTTGTGGTCATTGCATGTTGTGTACAGGGTTTCCCTGTATCCACAGTTTCAGGCATCCGCGGCAGCTTGTGAAACCAATCCCTCGCCGATACAGAGGTCTTACTCTATTTCAAAAAATGTCACCACGACCTGTAGTGCCTTAATGTGAAGCTTTTGTTGTTACTTTTTAGAAATGCTTTTTGGAAATAGTTACTTTAATATATGTAGTATAAGCTAGCTCACAAGTGTCCGTTTCCAGGATCCTCGACAGCAGCGTTAGGAGGGAACAAGTGACATTAAAAAGGTAAGGCTGTTACCAGCCATTGGCTAAAAGCCAGTCATAAGGCGCAACTAGAGTAGACCTATTGGTTCAGTGGAATTTAAGGAAGAGCTGACTCCTCCAATGTCTACTGATGCGAGAGGCCTGCAGCAAACGGTTGGATTTTAGCCACTGTGTTCTTTCAAAAAAGAATAGTACGACAGTGGTGCCTCTGTTCCAGGAAAATCGCCGTTAAGCGAAAACATCATAAAGCAAAAATAAAAAGCCATTGAAACACATTGAAAACCTTTCAGTGCGTTCCAATGGGCTTAAAATTCACAGTCCAATGAAGATTCTCCATACGGCGGCCATTTTCGCTGCCTGTATAGCGAGGAATCCGTCCTAGAAAACAGCGATCACAAAAAGATCGTCGTAAAGCAGATTCATTGTAATGCGGGGGCAGTCGTAAAGCGAGGCACCACTGTAATAATAATAATACTAAATGCAAGCAAAAGTTAACTATTACAGAAAACATTGCTAATTATAACGGATTTTTTTCCATGCACCTCCAGGCTTTGAGACACCGAAATGGTGCATATCCTCTTTTAATTATCGTAGAAGATGGGGGGCATCACATTTAAGTGCAAACAAGGGACATAATTACTTCTAGCAGGTGGGAACTCTGTTCCCATCAAGTTCTACCTACAGAGCGCCTTCTGCTCACGCATGCTCTCCGTGCGGGAAACACCTGCGCACCTGCCTCGCATCAGGTGTGTCTCTTTCTCCTTTCCCGATCAGAATGTGGAAAGGCCCTCCAAATTATTTTGGAGCTGTTTGCTCTCATTACGGAAACCTTCGCCAGTCATTTAATGTACCGCCTGGGACTACACAGGAGCCATGAAACTGCCAGCATCTGTTGACTTACTTGGTTGAAAACATTTCTACCTAGCCGGAAAAAACTCCCAAGAATTTTCTCTAATAGTCAACGGAATTGTGGGCCATTATTTGCCTGTCCTTTCAAGGCGATGAAGCCTAAGCATCTGAAACTGGGCGTGAATACTAAGGGGGTCTTGGAGAGACACGCCACAGGTTGACTTTTCATTAATTAAAATCTATTTGATGTGTGCCATTCCGTTTTCAGTCACTAGGTGGCAGATCTCCCCAAAACACTGCTAAAAATGAAGCTAGAGAAGTCTGGGAGATTTATCTTCTCCAAAGGAACCTCTAGGCAGTTCCATTATTCCAGGAGAAGTTAAGGATTGGACCGTTTTTCAGGCAGCCCACTGGAGGCGGTTGACTCCGATTTTGCAGGGGCATCGAACCTGCACCGGGTTTGGGTCCAAACTTTACAGCTCTTCAAGATACTAGACGCTACCCCACTTGCAGGTTTAGAGCTTCAGATTAGACGTGGGTTTTTTTTCTTCTGAATCTGGGGAATACAACTCCAAGAAGTCTGCAGAAATTCCCTTTCTGGGGGCTTTAATCAAGAAAGGAAAGTCTGATCGATGTTCGTACACCTAACAAATTCAGACACTGGCCACTGTTTTGTCCCTGTAAAGAAAGCAAGGGACATGGATGAGCAGAGCTAAGGTCCATGGGAGCTGCAAGAGATTACGGTCCCAGTACAGTGTTCCCTCGGTTTACAAACACCTTGGTTAATGTAATTTTTTGTTTATGAATGAAAATCCGTTGAAAATAATGTCTCGGTTTGCGAAAATTTTTTTTCGCAATACGAAGCAAATTTTCCCAGCATGCGTTGCTCCTGGGAGGTTTATAGCGCCGCCCCCTGCACATGCGTACCTACGGGAAACTGTGTTTCCGTTTGCAAATCTTTCACAATACAAAATGTCCCGGATAAAACATTAAATTCGTAAACCGAGGTACCACTGTGCTTTTTCTGAGCAGAACCTAATGGGCCGAGGCTACCCGACGTATAACCCCTTGCATCTCCCACAGAATGTAATTTTGGGTTTTTTTTTAAAAAAAGAATGTTTAAAAAGCGACAGTTTTATGAGGAACCGGGGGGGGGATGTTCCCCTTCCCAGGCCCTTCAAAACTGCCTGATTTTTTTTTGTACTAAATGAAGGGCTGGCGTCTCGTGGGGGGGGCCTCCATCTGTTGTTTTGCACAACAACGTGAGTTTGTGATCACCGTCATGAGTGGCGGAGAAGGGTGGCAGGAATGGTAGTCCAGCCGCTTCTGGAGGGGCAGGAATTTGGCCCTCGTTAAGATGTAGATTGATTATAGGCGGGCGGGCAGACAAGAATCCCCCCCCGGGGGGGAGTTAATTCTTAGCCCTGTGTCCTCAGTGGGATGTTCGAAGCAGGCTGTGAACAATGGCCTGGTTTGTGATGAGACTCTGAAACAAAAAGGTCGTGGTGGCCTTCCGAAGGCGGACCGCCTGGTACGAAATAACCCTCGGCCTTCTCCTCTTGCTTTTCATTCCCAGCAGGCAGAGGCGCCTCGACCGCCATCTTACTGACCGCCCTCCTGCTTCTCCTGGTGCTCGCCCTCGGCTTGTGCTTCGCCAAGCGCATCGGACTTTACAAACGGCTGTGCCAGTTTAGTAAGGGCACCAGTTGCCAATACAGGTAAGTCTCTCTCCGTTGGGCCCTCCCTTGTCCTGTTTTCCAGGGGGGGTCTCATCAGAATGATCCCCCCCATCAGAGACTCGGGCGTTTTGGTCCTGCTTTCCATGGGTGTCCCATCAAAAAGGCCACCGCCCCCATTAGAGCAAAAGATAAACTCACCGTATAACTTTGTGTATGTATTCGTGGTCTTTTTGAGCCTGCCAGGAATCGGATTGCTAGTCTTCTCCCCGACCCTGGCTCCTTCCTTACAGGGAACCATTCTGGGAAAACAAAAAACCCATCATCCTTCTGTCCTGTGCTCCAAACCTAACTTTGCTCCCCTCATCCCACAGTGCTGAGGCAGAGACCCGGGTGCGATTCTTCCACCCAGCTGAACAAAGAGGGTAACACACAGTTGCTTCCGGAGTAGCTGAGCGCTTTAAATATCTACCGTAATTTTCTCCATGTATAAGACTATAACTTTGTCTAAAATCTTTAGACTAAAAATTGAGGGTCATCTTATACACGGAAGTAAGCTGAAGAGAGAACAAAAACAAGTGGAGGGGAAAGCAGGGATCAAAGCGATCCTGCAGCACTTTGATCCCTTTCCCCCTACATTTGCTAAGCCCTACTTAGATTTCTTAATTTTGGGTCTTATACATGGGGGCGTCTTATACACAGAAAAATACGGTATATAGGATTCTCCCCGCCTCAGCAGATAAATTGGTGTTTCCTTTTCTGTTCTTGGTTTAATCTTGGTTTCTGAATGGTGATTTCTGGTTTTCTCTGTTCAGGTTTTCTCTTGCCTTTCAAAAATTGATTCATTCCCCCCTCCCCTTTCCTTTTACCTCTTATTGTGGGTGGAATTGACTGAGAGCAGGGCTGTTGCTAACCCAGATTTAAAAAATCCCCCCAAGAGTCGGACAGATCTTTAAAGCCACAAGATCAGCAGTTAAATATACTCCAAGCACAAGACCGTAGGGTCCCCGGTAGACAGACGGGCAGATATCCCATTAAAACGGGCCGGGCTGGGGAGAACACGATGGGTTTTGTTGTTTCTGAAAACCTAAGCAGTGGGACGCAGACGAGAAGCTCCAGCGGCTTGATGCCACTTGAAATGCAGGGGTTCTCCTCCTGAAGAATGATGGGATTTGTAGTTTGGTGCAAAGAGTCATACCCCCAAAAACTACAGCAGAAGATTTTTAAGGACATGAAATACAAATGTCATTTGAAACCAAACCTAATCTCTTAAGGCAGAAGGAAGACGTCTGAAGAGGTGGCCCCCGTGGTTTGCAGGATCCGAGCTTTTATACCCCGTGTTCCAAATCAAAGTTTAGAGAAGTGGCTTTTTAAAAAAAGATGACAACTCTGCTGTTCTTCCTGTCAGGCCGGCAACCTGGTGGCTCAGAGGATGATGGGTGTTATAGTCTCGGGGGGGGAAGTGAGCGCTCTGTCCTAAATACACACTTACACAGCCTTGCTCTCGGGAGAAATTCAGATTTTTCTGCTAGGTTTATGGATTTGGGAAACACCAGGCAAAGGGCACTATACAGTGGTGCCTCACTTAGTGATCGCTCCATTTTACGTTGAAATTGCTTAGCAATGTGTTTTTGCGATTGCAATAGCGTTCGCTTTGCGATGTTTCCTATGGGGAAAATTCGCTTTGCGATGATCGCGGGGAAGCGATCATCGCAAAGCCCCCATTGGTGGCCAGCTGATTGGCGGTTCCAAAATGGCCGCTGGGGAAAAAATGGCCGCCCGCTGTTTTGCCTCACTTTAGAGGCACCGAAAATGGCCGCCCTTATGGAGGATTTTCACTTAAGTTTAGTTTTTAAGCCCATAGGAACGCATTAAACACGTTTTAATGCGTTTCTATGGGCTTTTTAAAATCTCTTAGCGATGTTATTGCTTAGCAGCGATTTTTGCTGCACGGATTAACATCACTAAGCGAGGCACCACTGTATTTTGAAGCCGGGCTTAGGGTGGAAGTGGAACCTAATGGTTGTAAATGAACACCTTTAATCATCTTTAGAGTTCTCTAGTACAGTACCTCTAGGCTTTTCCAAGTTCTGGTGGAGAACTCTCTCTTTCTGCTCCACCCCGCTGCCTCCCCGCCTACAAGGGCTGGACTGATCCGGTTCTGTTTCGTCCGCCAGGATCACGCAGCCGGAACCGCAAAGTTACAGCCGGGCTCCCCCGGAGCGTCCTCAGCCCCCCAAGTGGAGGCAGACCACCGAACTTCAGCAGATGCCAGTCATAAAGGTCAGTGGGGTGGGTGTCAAGGAAGGGCTCCCCCCCCCAATCCAGGCCAACCCATCCCTTCCTCTCCGGGATCTACCGGCGGTCCGGTGCTGTCCCGAAAGGAAGGTGGTGGAACATCGTCAATGTCAAGTTCGGAGCAAAATCCGGAGACAAACGCAGGCAGAGATGCTTCGAAGGGGGGCCAACACCCGTTCCTAAATATACAGGAGGTCAATTTTTAAGTGGTGGAAACTGGGCTCCTTCCATCCAACCCCTGTCCTTGGTGTTACACGTCGATCAGGGTTTTTATTTTGGGAGGTCGTGTTCTCCAAATAAATCAGGAGAAATCAGAGGAGCGACTGTCTACAAGCCCAACTTGTTCTCAAATGTTGTTTTCCAAGGAATGTTTCCCCCACCCCTCCAATTCGATTTTTTTTGCAAAATTCGAACTCGGCGCCCGTGAAATCCAATATCGAGTCTGGGTTGCCGTTGGAGGAGTGGTATTCGGGTGTATTTATCGACGTAAAAGCAGATTTGTCTGCATTTATCTCTGTGCGTGTTGTGTTTTGTGTGAACAGTTTGGGAAAGTTACTTTTTTTTTATTCAGAAAAATAGCACCTTTCCCCCCTCCCAAAAAAAAATAATCTGCGCTTGCTCATATGGGTGGGGGATGATGGGAATTGTAATCTGTATAACATCTCCAGATAAGTAAATTGTGTGTTTCTGTGTTTCTATAGAGGCTGTGTGTGTGTGTGTGTGTTTTGTGTGTGTGTTGCCATAGCCATTCACCGCGGTGCATTTCTTGACCTCTGCTGTGGGTGATGGGTCTGCTCCTTTGGGCGACTGAAGGGCGTGGCCTGGGTGGCTTCTGATGGGGAGGCGGGGCTTAGGGACGGTTGCTATGGGCGATGGTGGGTGTGGTGAAGGATGGAGGGGGTGGAGCTTCTAGCCATCGTGCTGTTACTCCTTAGCTCCCTCTAGAGGCTGCGTCCTGGGCTGCAATTATGGAAAACCAGTGGTTAATGGGACTTGTAGTTAGGAAAAACAAAAATGTCCCTGTAAAACTCAAAAACGGCTTTGAAAAGTTACTTTTTGGGTCCCTGTTAATGCCTTTGTAAAAGCAGAAGCTATCAAATACTGATGCAAGAGCGTGCACAGGCTAGCCAGGATTTAGATGAAAGCAGAGCATGGGTGTGTGTGGGGGGGGGGAGGTCTTTCGGACTACGACTCCCAGAATCCCCCAGCCCATTGGCCAGATCTCTCCTTGGCAGAGAACACAGGGGAAAGTCACTGAGTGCGTTCAGCCTCCAGATCCTTAAATTTGAAAAGTGGAACCAGGGTCCACGCTGGACCCTACCTGGGCAGGTTTTGAACCCGGGGCCGCCTCTTGGTCTCTCTCTCTCTCTTTCCCTCTTTCTCTTTCCCGCTGTCCTTTTCTGCTGCACGATTGCATGCGCACGAGTGTGCCACCTCTGCCCCCAGCATGCCAGACGCCCCGAACGATAACCGCCCCCCCTCTGTCTCCCTGTCTCTCTCTTTCTCTGTTTCCCGGTGGGACTCCTTTCTCACTCCAGCAGCCTGCTCCCCCGGGAGCCCCACGGCCCGATCCGCCCTCGAAGCCACTACCTCCGGACCCGGTTCCCAAGGGCCGACAGGTAACCTCGTCCGGTCCCGGAGGGAGGGAAGGAGGGAAAGGGGGGGCGCGTGTGCCTCTTAACACCCTGCTGGAAACCTCTTGCATGTCTCTTCCCCTGCACGATGACATGATGGGAGGACTCAAATACAGGACCTTTTTTAAAAAAATAGACTATAGGTCCTAGTATCCCCCACTGAAGCATGATAACTGGGAAGTAGATTTTTTTTTAAAAGATGTGATTGCTCTCCATTTGGGCTGAAAATGCGACGGATCAGAACAAGGGGAGATATGTAACTCGGGTGCGGATTCACCCGCTCTCTCCCACTTAAACTATAACGTAGCCCATGTGCCTTTGAAGGAGGCCCTACGGCCCAGGCACACACACCACTGGCCGCTCCTCTTCTCCGGCTCCCCCCCCCCCCCAAGCATGAATTATCTATTGCTATCCTTCTTCTTTCTGCCAGGCCTTGCTCCAAGACAGGCCCGCGCCCCCTACTCGGCCGTTGCCTGCCGACCCCATTCCTAAAAATGCTCAGGTAACGCGCCTGGGGCGGGTTGGCCGTCCCAGCCGTGGGGGGGGGCTAATGGCGTTTCAGAGAGGGTGGGGGACTCTTGATTTGGGGAGCGGGGCAAGAGAGGGAAGGGGGAGGTCGGTGGACTTGGCTGTGAGAGGTCTCGATGGGTCTCCCCTGGGTGATCATTTTGGACTACAACTCCCACAATCCCCCTACTCCCCGGTGGGCTGGGGATTTGGGGCAATGTAGTACAATGTAGTAAAGATTCGATTTAATTTGATTTCTGGTCTCCATATATCCACCTAAACTTCATCCCGTTTTCCGCGTAGGCCCCCAGTCCCGCCAAGCCCCCTCCTCCCCGGAAGCCACTCCCGTCGGATCCTCTCCGGGCCGAGCCGTGCGTCGCCCCCTGCTATGACCCCCGTGTCCAGATGCTACCATCAAGGTGAGGAAAAAGGAGGAGGGAAGGGTTTCTTTCTCTTCCAGATGTGCTCAATGGATCTCAAGAGAGATGCCGCAGGCAGAGGAACCTGTGGGTGTTCAGTTGTTGTATCGCAACTCCCATCTTCCCCACCATCATGCTGCAAGGCAGAAACCAGCGACATGGAACGTGGCACAGAAAGGACCCAGAATGGATTCTTCAGATCTCCCTCGTCATACCAGTCTTTAACGTCTAGATATACAATAATACATTACGTGCTCAAATCTCCAGTCTATAGTGCTCAACGCAGGCCTGGTCTACTTGAATTTAAAAAAATGGGGCCTCTGGGAAACCTGGCTCCTAGCTTACCCTTTCCACATACTGGTAAACCAGACCTTCAGAGGACTCAGGACGACTCAACCTAAGAATGCTAATTTTTCAGGGCATTGAGACCAAATCACCTCCTAATTTTTTTTAAAAAAAGGATGACCACTAGAGGGCGCGAGGGAGCTTATCCAGTTTTAAAAACACATTTTTTGTAGGAAAATTATTTCAAGGGGAAGTCACAGAAGCAGCCTCCAAAAGTCTTGAGGATGGGGGTGTGTGGATCCTGATGGTTGTTCCTTTCTTCTGCTTTCTCCCCCATAGGCCTGCACCACCTCCGCCTCCCACAGCGACCGGATCTTCAACACACGTCCACGAAATCTAATCCGGGCTGGCTGAAGGCACAAGACTGGAATGTGTTTAGGCCTGCCGTGCTTTATTCGAGGCAGGGCAGGGGGAGGAAGACGGCAGGGGGTGCTATGAGGATGAAGATGATGCCAGCCCCTCCCTGCCACTTGCTTTGCTAGCTTCGACTGTGGATTCTGGGGGGGGGAGGCCCCTCCGTGGCCTCGGCAAAGCCGGACCCTTCTGTCCCGACGGCGGACGTTGCACTGAGAGCCAGGCCAAAGTGCCACCATCTTGACTTCTCTGGCCTGCGCCGGACTCTGGACCCAAGGCATTCTGGGAAAAATGGGGGGGGGAGAGAAGAGTCTTTGCACTGGGTAAGTGGGGGCACTGAGTTCCCCAAGCCAATCTGCGTGTATGTACATGTGTGTATCAGGCTGCACATGGAGATAACCTATATGCCATCATCTGAGAATAGACGAGTAAGATGATGCGCTGGGAAATCTCTTCCATTTCACCCTTGTGGCTGGAGAAATCCTGATGATTTGGGAGATGTCCAGCTGTCAAGCAACTACTTTTTCTTAATAAAAGCAGAGAGATGGCATTATTTTCCCAGTTCTTACACCCTTTCCCTGTATTATGGGAGGTTGGAAAGAAAACTGACTCCTGGGGAAGATCTGATGTTGCCAAATGGAAAGCTGTTGCCAGCCTGAAATCCGGAGATGCTGCCTTTACCTTTTAAGTCCAGGAGGGGAGAAGGGGTTGAGGAACACCCTGTCCTTCTCTAGCGTATTGTTTTTCCTTGTAGAAAATTCAGAAACCTCTTTTTAAATTTGAAGAATGCAAAGTTTCCCTTGAGTCCCAATGACAGAGACCTTTCTTGGCCTGGGACTCCAAACTCCATCTGCACTAGCCTCTGGGGGGGCATGTTTGGGGATGATGGCAGTTGTAGTCGGCCGTTGGGAAAGCCACAGACTCCAGCCCTCTGCTCGGGATTTTCAAATCCACGGCTTGTTGTTCCTCCGTCTTGCCTCTAGGTGGTGCCCAAGCACAAACTTCTGTTCTTCCAAGAGGGGGCGATTTCAGGCTTGGTCTCCCAAGAGGTTGGAAAATTGCATAATCAACCGTGTATAAAGGTTCCCTTTGGGGCGCAACTAAAGCTGGCAAACTCCAGGCAGTCCATATGCCATCTAGCTGGCTGGGGGGGGGGGTTCTGGGAATTGTAGTCCAAAAAGCTTGATAGCGATTGGCCCCGGAAATATGGCTTCCTGTTCTGGAACAATTTTGATGTACACATATGTAGACTTTAAAGTCACACAGAACAATTTGTCCGACAGAAAGGAAAATCAGTCTTTTCAAAGGTAAATATCGCCATTTCCTCAAATTCGTTGGCTAGTACGGCTAGATGCCAAATGAGCTGAGCATGGTGAAAATTGTTTTCTGGAAAAGGAACGGTGTCACGCTTTATCCCTTTAATAGCATCTTTGCGCTATTCCAGGTGTCAAGGAAGCACAAGAGTTTACCAAGGTTCACACCCAAACTTCTCTTCAAAACTCCATTTCTCTACTTAAGAAAGCCACTTCTCTTTTGAGATGTTTTAAAGAAATGTTTAAGAAGTCCCGTTCTTTGCTGGAACTTTGTGTATTCATTTGTTCTGGGTGCGAATTGAAAGCTTCTGAATTGGAGGCTCCTGCTACTGGCCTCAACTTTAAATGAAAAGCATCATAGTGATAAAACTCCATCCGCCAAAGCAATACAGTTGGTTCCATGTATCTGCAGCGGATTGCTTCCATGCCCCCCGCAGATGCAGAAGACCGTGAATAATAGTGAACTCTATACATAGTGTGGTCTATGACTCCCTCTAGTGGCCAGTTCTGATCATTACATCACTGACCTGTATTCCTGGCTTTTTTCTTGTAATATTTTAAATATTTTCAGAGTTTTGGATTTTTGGATAAGTGAACCCGCGGATACCGAACTCAAAGATAGAAGTTCCTATTGTACAAAAAGTAAACATGGAAAAAAAAGAAGAAGTGGAAAAGAGCACAAACGTTGTACTAAGCGGGAGAAGAGAATGTCGTGTGGATGGTGGGAAGAACGCTTGGTCGTGTTGATGCTGAGTCAATTTGCTTTCATGCCAGCAACACAGTCCTGGAGATGAATCGTTCTGCGTAGCGTTCTGGTGTTACTTCTTCTGGCATCTTCTTGGCATGCACTGTGAGTGTGTCATTGTGTGTGTGTGTGTTCTCCCACGATTCCTACACACGCCTTTCCCCTCTCCCCGTGAGAAAAAAGGCTTTCTGCGCTGCCGAACCATGCAAAGAGCCTGTTTTATAGGCTTTTCCACCTTGTAATTTCACCCAGGAATGTGACTCTCTCCAACAGCTTCTGCTGCTCAAGAAATTATTCTTTTTGAAACCAGGGAGGGTGGGTGACGTGCCCGAGGATTGAAGGAGGGCTATCTTGATCCCTGCCTTCAAAAAGGGCTAAAAAAGGAGGAACTTGGGAATTATGGACCAGTCACCCTGACGTCAATCGCAGGGAAAGTTCTGGAAACAGATTATAGAGCCGTCACTCTGGAAGCACTTTGAAAACAATGCAATAATAACTAGAAGCCAGCATGGATTTGTCAAGAACAAATTGTGCCAGACTAATCTTATCTCGCTTTTTGATCTGGTAACCTCCCTGGTAGATGGTGGGAATGCTATAGACATAATATATCTTGATTTCAGCAAAGCGTTTTGACAAAGTGCCCCGTGGTATTCTGATTAGCAAGCGAAGTGGGTGTGCGATGGATAGATGAAGGGTCCGGTGGATACACAGTTGGTTACAGATTCGTATGGAGAGGATGATGATTAATGGGTCCTTCTCCAACTGGGAGGTCACAAGTGGGGTACCCCAAGGCTCAGTCCTGGGTTCGGGGCTCTTTAATATTTTTGTTAATGACTTGGATGAGGGAGGGCAGGGAATGCATATCAAATTTGCAGATGACACAAAATTGGGTGCAATCGCTAATAAATACCCTGGAAAGACAGAAACCATCTAGAATGATCTGGATAGGCTGGAGCACCAGGTTGAAGACGAGAGAATGAAACTTAGCAAGGATAAGGGCAAATTTCCACACCTAGGAAAATATAAAATCAAAAATCAAACCAAATGCATCGTTACAAGACGGGGGATACTTGGTTTGGGACGAGAGAATGAAACTTAGCAAGGATAAGGGCAAATTTCCACACCTAGGAAAATATAAAATCAAAAATCAAATCAAGTGCATCGTTGGAAGGCGGGGGATACTCGGTTTGGGAATGCTACGAGCGAGAAGGATCTTGGAATTGTTGTGGATCAGGACACATCAGAACGGGCTCAAGCGACAAGAAGCCAGATTTCGGCTGAAGACATGGAAAAACTTCTCAACTGTTAGAGCAGTACGACCACGGAACCGACCACCTGAAGCCAGGCAGACTTCTTCAGAAAGGGGCACCTCTACTTCACGCTGGGAAAGCAGACTCCAGGCCAAGGATGAGAAGAAACCTTTTCCGCCCGAGGGCTGGATTCGGTTTCAGAGTAATTCTCGGGGGCTGCGTTCCAGTGTTGGGTGCGCCCAAAGGCAAAAAGGTGGTGATGCCAAATACCGGTTTGGTTTAATCTGCGGCTCTTTCTCAACTGTAAAGAATGGGAATGTGGACTTGGACCAGAGGTGTGAAACCGCATGGCTCCTTGTCTCAGTTTTCCTGAGCCAGCAGGTAGAATGCACCAGCCACTGGAGGTTCGATTTCGGGGCAGGTAGATCTTTATCTTCTGCCAACCCGCATCAGGTCAGGTCTGGAAACCAGTCCTTTTAGCCGACTGTGGTGGGTATTCCCCCTAATCTTGTCCATTTTTAAACGGAGATTTAGGGTCCAGTCTATCCTTTTCCAGCCAGGTGGCTTCTAGATGTCATGTACAACAATTCCCATCTGGCTCTCCAATATCAAGATCAAGGACGATGGGGGTCATCACCCAATGTGTTTGAAGGGGTGCTCGAAGTGGGAGGGGAAACCCGGTCTGCACCTTAACCCTGCCTTTCTCAAGCCCCCCTCCGCTTGAAGTGAATGGACTACAACTCCCATCGTCACAGGGGCTCTGAGTGGGGACGATGGGCCGCGCCGCCCGACAGCAGGTTTTTGAATATCGCTTTTCCCCACGTAAATATAAAAACGTGGGCTGAAGCAGGTGGCACGCTCCACAGTTACAGGAAGGAAGCAAACCCCCCCTCCACCCCACCCCGGCGGTTGCAGAAGCTTGCCCGACTCCCGAGTCGACCCATAGCGGAGCCAAGGAAGTGGGAGAAAAACAAGCGAGAGATTCATCGCTTTCAAAAGAGAAAAAGAAAAAGGGAGGGACTTATTATTGCAGAGTTTTTGGCCCGGAAAGGGAGAAACAACGCATTAATCACGCTAAACGCTTCAATATGTTCGAGACGGAGCTGTCCAAAATCTGCGCCATCGAGAAAAGCAAATTGAAAGATGATGACAGCGATGATGGGGGGGCGCAGGACCATATCTAGACCCTTGAGGAAGGGGCGCCCACTTCACTTGCCCCCCTCTCATGAAAAAGGAGATTGTGGTGTCCCCTTCCTGCCCCAAAGACGGGCCAACTTCATAGTTTTTTAAAAAAATTATTATAATCTTGTGATTTTGCAAAATTTGTCATGCCACCTACACATTTTTTTTTCAGACTTGATTTCTAATTTCAAAGGCTAGATCCTTGGCTCTGCCCCACCTGCACCAGCGATGCTGAGAAATAAGAATATCATCATCATCGTAGAACGCCAGAGCTGGAAGGGACCCTAACAATCATCCAGTCCAGGAGGCACCGGGGGGGAGGGGAATTCGAACTCTCAACCTCTGGCACCCCAGCCAAAGACTTCAACTCCTAAACTATCCGGCAGTTGATTATAATGACCCCCACGTTATTCCGTCCTAATTACAGCCCGGAGGGGGAAGGAACCCCCCAGTGCTTGATTTAACTTTTATCTTTTTTGTGTGTCTTTCATAAGACGTCAGGATGAGGATTATGGGCTTTGGAATCACAGTCGGCTATGGGGAGAGGACCTGAGGTACCTCCTTTTTCTCTGACACTTGGGCCAGCCCCAATGCTAATTTTGGGGGTATAGCTCGTTAATACCCACCCAATCAAATATGCAAGGAACCCCCTCCAAAAGGAAATTTAAAACCCCATGTAATGGTTCGATCCTTGGCCTAGGGCTCAAGAGGTGTGAGTTCGAGTCTCCAGTGGGCCACAAATCTCACTGCGTATACGTGACCTAGTCATACTGTCCTGATTTGATCCACCTGGCAGGGTTGGCATAAAAAAAACGTATACGTGACCTAGTCATACTGTCCTGATATTGATCCACCTGGCAGGGTTGGCGTAAAAAAAAAAACAGAGAAAAAGAAGAGAACATTGGGTGCTGCCGAGGAAAAACAGGAATATAAAAATAACTAAAAAAATAACTTGTAGAAAAGGTGGGAATATAAAATTGACTTTAAAAAAATACATACATAAATTAACAAGGCCAGACTGGAACCAAAAAGGAATTTAATCAAGGCAGACCGAAGGAGAAAAACGGCCAAATGTCACAAATCCCAGAATCCCCCATGCTGGCTGGGGATACTGGGCTGTGTAGTTTGTCTCCTCCCTCTTCTCGTCTCTCAAGTCGGCTGAGAGCTGGAACCAGCGAAGCCGAAGCCCATGGTTCGCACCCGCGCCGCTTTGACGCAGGAGCGGAGGAGCGAAAGCTCGGGAAGATGTTGGCCGCCTTGCCACGCAGGTAAGGCCAAAGAGAAATCTGGCTTTCTCTGGAAGCAGATTTTAGGCAGTTTCCTTGGGCAGCTCGTGGTCGGGAGGTCTCCCCCACACACACTCAGGCCCCGAACTTCCCCATCTGTGTGTGGGTGTGCGTGTGCCAAATTGACTCACTAAGAAATGATAATTAATGGGGAGTGGAACAAATAAACTCAGTAGCACAGAAGTTCCTGGCGTTGACCCGCATGGGCATGCACGCTTTTTGATCCATCTTTTTCCCTTTGATTTTTTTTTTTCATTTTAAAGTTACCCCCCCTCCGGGGCTATTCCAATTAAGTGTTTCGTGGCCTCCGGAGACGGTGGCTACCTTTGCAATCCATCAGGTGGCCGGTTTTATTGGATGTGACTTCAAAACCATGTTAAAAACAATGGGTTTAGAATCTACTATATAAACCTGATGCTTTCCAATTTTCCTGCCACTGTTATCTTCTCCAGAGGTGCCCAAAGTAGAATAGGCTCCGTGTCATCCTCTCTTTTTTTTTGCATTGTTTTAATCCACCAGAAAGTTTGACGCCAACTTTGAGAGCCATTGTGCGTCTCGACAATAACACACAACGCCATCTAAAACAGGTGTTAGTACAGTGGTGCCTCACTAGACGATAATCCGTTCCACTGAAATCGTTGTTTAGCGAAATCATTGTCTAGCGAAAACCATTTCCCCACTGGAATGCATTGAAACCTGTTTAATGTGTTCCAATGGGGAAGAATTGTCGTCGTCCAGCGAGATCGGCCACAGGAAAGCCACTTTGCAAACCACCGATCAGCTGTTTAAATCGCTGTCTTGCAAAGCTTACGTCCCAAAAACACCTGTTTTGCGAGCGTGGAGGGAGCTGTCAAAATTGTCGTCTAGCGAAAATCGGTTTGTGAAGCAGGGACCAAACATTGTCCAGCGAAATTCCTCCACAGGAATCACTGTTTTGTGAATCGCTATGGCGATCGCAAAAAGCCAATGTCTAGCGAAAAAACTGTCATGCGGGGTAACTGTCTGGCGAGGCACCACTGTACTCTATAGCAACACCGTCCTCATCCAGATTGTTAAATCCAGAGTCTAAACTTTAGCAAAGGTTGGGCAGATGTTGGACTGGTGGCCCTCCAGAGGCTGTTGGACTACAGCTCCCATCAACCCTGGCCATAGGAAGGTGAATGAGTGCTGGGAACTGTATTCCGCCTCCGAGGATCACATTTTGGGCGGCACTACAGCTCCCATCAACCCTGGCCATAGGAAGGTGAATGAGTGCTGGGAATTGTATTCCGTCTCCGAGGATCACATTTTGGGTGGCCTCGGGAACCTTACCTGCCCTCTTGTCTGCCGGTCGCTGTTTGGCTAATTTTGCCGGTAACAGGGAAGCATTTCTGGGTCCAAAACCCCCTTTTAACCGTCGCCACCCCACGGCAATCTCGCACGCTGACTCTCAACCCCGTCTTACGGAAAGCTTGAAGGAAACGAAGGGTGGGTGAGGTTTAAAACTAAGCACAGGCCCTTGGAAGGGCGAGTCTGTTTTGGACAAGAACTCCCAGAATCATGGGGTTTGTTGTCCAAAAACGGGTTGCCTTCCCAGCGTCTCAAGAGCCTTGGGGGCCAGCCAGGAAAGTGTGACCCCCCATTCTGCTTGGGGCAAATTTCAGGACTCGGAAATAGGCTGCTTTTTTTGGGGGGGGGAGCCAGGAACCTCGCAGAACGGTGAGGCCATCTTTACAGCTTAAGGCCCCAATCCTGTTGGCTGCTCTCAGCTCCAGAGTTAGACCCTTGCCATGCATCTTTGCCTATGAAATTAACCCTTCTGGAGTCCCGGGGGGGGTCTCCTTCCCCGCCCCAGGAGCTTCTCCCAGGCCCGTTTTCCTTTGGGCAACTATTATCCTGAAAGGGCCTTCTTCTTCCGTGAAATTAATTCCATGTTTCTCGCTCTTTCTCCTCCTCTTTTTCTCTTGTCTCACGCCAAGCGAGAAATCGTTGGGAGTCTTCAAAGCCCAGGCTGGGGGGGAAAAATGCAGACAGAAAAACAACATTATTTGTTGAAATAAAACGGAGTTGTGCGGTCAATACAGAACAAACTATGCATGCAAGAATAGAAGCCACTAAAAAAATCATCACACCATAGTGAGCGTTCACGGATCAAGGCGACGTCATCCGGATGGCCTCGATCCATGAAAGTTCACATACAGCAGGATAATTTTTTTAAAAAGTGGTTTATAAAGCGATCGCCTCCTCTTGCATTTGGATTTTACAATTATTTGTGGCACCTTTAAGTGAAGAGGTTAGGAGTTCGAATCTCCCCCTTGACGGGCTGGACTTGATGATCGCGAGGGTCCCTTCCAGCTCGGCCACTCCAAGAGAAACCAATTCATCCCAGTGTGGATTTTCAGGGAAAACCATCCCCCTCTTTCCATGCTTCTCCGAAAACAGGAGGGCGATTATTCTGTTTTGGGGTGTGTTTTTTTGGTACTACAATGTCCAAGCTGGTCTGGGGATGCTGGACCTTGTAGTCCACGAGAGAGATGGCAAAAAGAAAAAAGAGTCCTTTTCTCCAGCTCAACTCGCCCCCAAAATAAACTCATGATTATCCGCGCTCAAGCCGATTTGGACTTCTGGCGACTCTCCCCGAGGTATTAAAGTCCGCGTTTTTTTTTTTTTTAAAGAAGAAAAGACTCGGAATAAAGTCCTCGGATAAAGTCCGCTTGGAGTCGCGAAACTCCTTCCCGGCTGCGCAAAACGTCCAGGAGCGAAGGTCGAGAGCGCGTCGGTCCGGGAAGAGTTAACCCAAAACTTTTCTCCTCCTCTCTCTCCCCCCCCGTCCCGGTTCTTTCTTTCCTCTCCCCTTTCCTCTTTTTTGGGGGAAGGCGGGGGGCCATCACGGCGGCTCCCGATTGGCGGAAAGTTGGAGCGAGTTGGAAAGAGGGGAGGGGCTCCCGGGCACTTTCTCTCCTCTCGCTCGCTGGATCTTTTTTTTTTCCTCCCCCCTCTTGCCTTCCCGGGAGGTTCCTGCGGGCGCTCCGGTCCTTTTTTGGGGACCCCCCACCCCTTTCTCCCCCGATCGTTGCGCTCCTCCCTCCCTCCCCCCCTTTAGACGGCCCGGCTCCGTGCGCCAAGCTTGGGGAGGGGGCGTCCGGGAGAAGGGGAAGCCGACGGAGCGATGCGCCCAGGCCGGGCGCTCCCTTTGGGGCTGTGCATGCTTTGGGCCGGCGTCCTCTGGCAACAGGTAGCCGGCCTCCGGCGCAGCGTGTATTGGAACTCCAGCAACCCCAGGTAAAAAAAATAGGGGGGTGTTATTCTTTTCCAGGGGTCCCCCCTCTCCATCTCCACGCCGGTTTGGGGGCCATCGCGCTGCGCCTTCTGCGCCCCAGCGTCTTGGAACGGGAAGAAAGTGGGGGGGCTTTTTTTCCCAGCCGCTTCCAGCGCCCTGGACCCCGAAAATTTTTTTTTTTGGAGGGGGTCATGACATCCAAAGAGAAGGCCCGGGCTCCCGCGGGGGTTTGGCCCTGGGGATCGGAGGGCATTGGCCGGGAGAAGAAAAGAAAAAAAAATAAGGAGGAACGTTTTAAAAAAGCTACACCGCGATGCGCAAAAAGCGCCTTGCCTGGGAATGGAGGGCGATCCGGTTTTTCCCGCACCCCTTTTGAGGCTGGAAGAGGCTGCTTCCCTTAAACTTTTTTTTTCCGGGCACGAGCTGGTTAAACTGGCCAAGGGAAAAGGGGGGGGGAGGCAAAGAGGGCGAGAGCCGGGGGCTGCCCTCCCCTTTCCCCCTCGCTCCCCGCTTCTCTCCCCGGCACCATGTTGAGCGCTCAGCATCTCCTTTGTCTCCCAGCCCTTTCCAGGTGCTCGCCTTTCTTTCTCCCCAGGAAAACCCGGGGGGGGTGTGTGGAGGCCGCCACCCTGCTCCCCGCAAACCATCCTCCTCACCTCCCACTTTGCTCTGCCTTTTAATGCTTATTGTTGTTGTTATTCTTCGAAAATGCAAAACACCAACGTGGATTGCTACAAGTTTTAACAAAAAAAAAACACACCTTCCACTTTCAGTTAAACATTGGTGAAAAGGAAAACACCGGA